GGGGAGGCAGCGGGGGGCGAGGGGGGACCGTGAGTGGGGGTGGGGAGGGTGGCACCTGGTCCTTCAAGCAGCTCCCGAGGGCACAGCCGCGCTCGCCCACCTGCAGCTCTGCCTGCATGAGCCGGATCTCCTGGTTCTCCTTGGCCAGCTTGTCCAGGAGGAGGGTGACCGACTGCACGCTCTGGGGGTCCCCGGTGTCCAATGGGGGGGGCTTCTGCTGCGAGTCCTGGGGAGGGGCGGGATGGGGGGCGTGGGGGTGCTGGGGGTGCTGCCAGCTCTGGGGGCTGAGCCCCCCTGCGCACCCCACTCCTTACATTGCCGTCGGCAGGCGGCGGCGACTCCTGCTCCCCGGCGGCCACGTCCCGGGTCACCACGCTCTCCAGGGGGCCTGGGAGGGAACCGGACCCACAAGGGACCCCGATGTCACCACCACGGGGACATTGAGCTGTGGCCAAACAGCCAGGCTGCCATGGGGTGACACCCTGCCGGGGCATGACAGTCCCCGGTACTCACCGTCGGCTGGGTCATAGATGCCACCTGGAGAGAGGAAGGGACAATGAGGGGACCCTCGCCCTGCCCCTGGGACCCCTACCCTGTCCCTGGACCCCCCCACTCACCGGAGATGACCAGTAGCCCCACGGCCACCAGCGCCAGGGCGCCCAGCAGGTACTTGCTCATGCTGAGCCCGTCCTCGTCACCAGCGTCCGGCGTCCCCCGGTGCAGGGCAGGCGCGGGAGTCGGGGGGACGGGACGGGGCTCATGGCCCTGCCGTCGCCGCAGCCCCTCCGTGTCATCGTCGCTGCTGCTGCAGCTCCCCTCCTCCGTTGGTGGCCCTGGGGAGGGACGGGGGGACCTGAAGGGAGGAGACGTACCCCAGCACCGCCCGCACAGCCCCCCCCCGGGCTCTGCTGGGGCCTGACCTGCTTTGGGGGTGTCAGGGCTGGGGCCTGGCTCAGCCTTGGCATCGGGCTCCGCCAGCTCCCCGCCATCTGGCGTGCTGTGCTCCGCCGAGCCGTCGGGGGTGGCCGCTGTCCCAGTGTCCCCACACTCCTCCGGGTCCTGCAGATGTGGGCGCTGGGGGCTCGGGTGTCCCCCTGGGGAGGACAGGTCCCCGGCCCCCCGGCTCACCCCCAGCACGGTGCCCTCGGGGCTGGGGGTCTGGCTGGTGACAGTGGCTGTGGGGGGGCAGAGAGCAGCGGTGAGCCGGTGGCACAGGGGGACACCGGGCCCGTCCCACCCCTGCAGTGGCCACCTGCCTGGAACGGTGTCCTGAGCGCCTTCCTCCTCCTCCTCCTCCAGCTCCTCATCCTCGGCCCCACGGGAGGCCAGATCCTGCTCTGGACCCACCGTGTCGATGGGCAGGCCCTGGGAGGCGGGGGGACGGGTGGCACCTTTGTCCCCAGCGCCGCCCGCTGCCCCCCAGCTCCGGGGGTCCCTCACCTCGCCCCCCGCCAGCACCCAGCTGCCGTCCGAGTCCCGGGAGCCCGAGTCCTCCGCCATGGGGACAGCCCGGAGCCACCTGCAAGGAGAAGGACGGGCAGCCGGGGGGACGGAGGGACGGATGGAGGGACGGATGGAGGGACGGACGGAGGGACGGATGGAGGGACGGAGGGATGGATGGAGGGACGGATGGAGGGACAAGGGGACGGAGGGACAGAGGGACAGGGGGACACGCCAGGCCCCCGGCACTGTCGGCGTTTGACCGGGAGAGCCCCGATCCCCGGCAACGGCCCTCGCCCTGCCCGAAGCCCCGGTCCCCCCGTGTCCCGTCCCCCCCCCATATCCCC